AGAGAGAGAGAGAGAGAGAGAGAGAGAGAGAGAGAGAGAGACAGTACGGGATACAACACTTCATCTGAAGACAATTCACATAATTATGTAATTTGTCTGTGAAACTATGTCTAAAATTACCGGTACTACAGTTCTACTGATGTAATCCCAACGTAGTTCTTGTCAAATCCCGAAGTATTCACCTTATCTAAGCTTTCCTAAACCATCGTGTCTCTTGGCTTATTGGACTGCCTTTTCGTACCTTTGCATGGGTCAGATGAGTTATAACAACTTTCACGTTCTTGCCCAGTGTTGGAATGTGTTGATTAATGATGTGTTTTTATTTTGGGGTGTTTTGTTTGGGTTTTTCTTTTTTGTCTTTTTTTGTTTGTTTTCTGTTGTCTTTTTTTTTCGTTCGGGTAACTGCCAGATGGGTTTGAATTTGAGAAAAGAAAAGCACATCTGCTGTTTGTTCTAGTAAGGTTTTACGGCGCTCGCAACTCTGCATGAGAAAGCACATCTGCACAACAATGGCCACACAGTACAGGGAAAAAGATAGACAGAGAGACGTAAACAGTAAAGGGAAAAGAAAAGAAGGACAAAAAGAGGCGCCATGAAACCACCCCAGTGCCAGATGAGAGGCTAAACTGTACGTGTCATCGTATTAAGTAATAATGCCGTTTCTAAAGTCTGACAACCATTTTGTTAAATTAGATTTTTTTTTTTAAGTTGGTCCAAACCCCAGAAAGTTTACCCTTTCCTTTTCCAAGAATGGCCACGGCAAATAAAACTAAAATAACACAGCTGGGTATAAAAGCGTTCCCTTACTCCAAAAGGCAAACGACATTAAAAAACAAACAAACACAAAAAAAGACCATCTGACCATCTCCCCCAGTCATCGATGCACTGTTTCAGATTTTAAAGTTTCTTCCAAGTTATACAGACAGACAGACAGACAGACAGACAGACAGACAGACAGACAGACAGACAGACAGACAGACAGACAGACAGACGGACGGACGGGCGGACAGTAGCCCAAAGCATAACTAGTGCACTAAACTTAAATCGACAGCACGAAAAACTAACCCGAACGCTGATTCCAGCACCCGCTATTTTCTCAGCGTTTTTCAGTTTCAGTATAAAAAAATACGTCATTTGCAACACAAACAGCTCACATAAGTGCCGATGATTAGAGGTGTTACTAAAGAGTAGCAAACAAAGAAACGTTTGGGTCTTTTTTTTGGGGGGGGGGGATTAAAAGGAAGATGGATATTTGATAGGAAAGAAGAAGCAAACCTGTTTTGGTTTCAGTAAGAGGTTTACGTCATTTGCAACATAAACAGGTCACATAAGTGCCGAAGATTAGAGGTGTTATTAAAGAGTAGCAAACAAAAAAAAGAAAGGGGGGAGGGGGGGATTATAAGGAAGATAGATGTTTGGGAGGAAAGAAGAA